AGGATAGAGCAGGGTTTAGGGCTGTTGTGCATAGGGTCGCTATGAGTCGGAAACGACTCGATGGCACATAACAACAACAACAACAACATAGAGATTTGATTCTTAGGAGGTCCCATTCATCTATCTTATCCTATCCTGGTTGTAGATTTTTAAGTGCAACAATTTTAATGTTTCAATAAAACTTTTTTATGCAAACAAATAACATGGCACAAAATTTTAGAATATGTGCCCTATTTTTGATGGGAGCCACAAAGGAACACATATGTATGGTAATTAAGCAATGATCTCAGGAAGCTCTCTCCTTTCTTCGAGTACTCTGTCTATGTGCCATGACATTACTATATTTTGTGTTACTCACCGGCCATGGGGTTGGTCTCTGTATGTGCAGGAGGCACATGAGGTGCCGTCTCTGCAAGGAAGCATGTAAGCTCTCTGAACCACCACTCGGACGCCTGATTTTGCAGGTGTTCCCTGGCTTCGCACCACATCCAAGAGAGAATGACTTGGGGTGATGTGGGCTGAGAAATGCTGCCTTGTGTCTTCTTGTTCAAGGGTGAAGTCTGTTCCTGTGGTGGTCATAGTGCTACACGTAACCTGCCCAAGATAAGCAAAGGAAAAGTTTCAACTTGACTTATGAGGGTATGAGTTGCTGCACCAACAAGTGACATTCCTGAGCAAACTTTTGATAGAACTGAAACACACTAAAGAATGATAAGATAAAAATAAAGTCATATATGGCCTGGTACACTGTGGTGGCAAGGCCCTTAATACTGTCATTACTATGAAAGCTAAAACTCATATAGGACAATGCAAATCGTGATAGAAAAGTGGTAAGACTGCACTCTATGACAGTGTTGCAAAGGATGGGGAGGGAAAAGGTGTGAGAGTAATAATAGAAAATTGTTTCTTCTATGGAAATCAAAGGCTGTCTTGGATTGTTGAAAACAGTCCAAGTAAACAATCTGCAGAAAACTCAAGCAAGATCTACACCTCACTCCTTACACAAAAACCAACTCAAAGTAGATCAAGGACCTAGGACTAAAACCAAGGACTATAAACTTCATTAGAAAAAAGTTTGGAAGCCCTAATCCACATCATTAACAGTCTGCTAGGCATCCTGAAAACACTACAACAAGGAGAAGATAAAATAGATGAATGGGACCTTCTAAGAATCAAATCCCTATGCACATCCAAAAACTTCTCCAACAGGGTAAAAAAGGGAGCCCACAGACTGGGGGAAAAAATATTTGGTAATGACACGTCTGCTAAGGGACTTATAATCTAGAATTTATAGAATACTCGAGCACTACAACAAGACAAAGGTAAACAACCCAGTTGAAAAATGGGCACAGGATATGAACAGACACTTCAACAAAGGAGACTTTCAGATGGCAAACACATAAAGAAATGTTCAAATTCCCTAGCTCTAAGAGAGATGCAAATCAAAACTATGAGATATCATCTCACCCCAACAAGAATAGCAAAATTTAACAGAACAGCAAACAATAAATACTGGCGAGGTTGTGGAAAATTGGAACCCTTATTCGCTGTTAATGGGAGTGTAAAATGGTGCAACCACTATGGAAGATGGTGTAGTGTTTTCTCAAAAAGTTGGAAATATAATTATCATTTGACTCTGCAATTCCACTATTGGGAATATACCCTAAAGAAACCAGAACTGGCACCCAAGCAGATATATGCACATCCATGGTCATTGTGGCTTTGTTTACAATAGCAAAGAGTTGGAAACAACCCAAGTGCCCACCAACAAATGAATGGATGGAGAAGCTGTGGTATATTTACACAATGGAATACTATGCTGCATTGAAACACAATATTATGCAAAATGGGTGACCCTGGAGGACATTATGCTAAGTGAAATATCTCAGTCACAAAGGGACAGATTCTGCATGGTGCCACTGTTGGACTGACATCAGGGATGGGGGGAATCTAAGAGAGAAGGGGATGAATAATGTACACTACACTGAAACAGATGAGGGAGAGGAATGCTTGAAAGGAATATATGATTAAGTATTATTTTCATGACAAGAATCTAGAATGACAGCTTCACGGGGGAGTGGACTGGGGAGGTGGACTGTATAATAATGAAAACATTTATTTTATTTTTTTTACTTTTCAAAGAGAAAAATCAACTGGGGGGAGGGGTGGGAAGGGAGAAAAATATGCAACAATGAATGAATGGAAATCCAAAGTCTTGATAAACTTTTATGAAAATTTTAATTTAAAAAACAAAAACAAACAACAAACAACAAACCAGTCCTAGGAAGTAGTAGAAAATTAAGATAATTTAAAATTAATGTTAGGGAGCTCTGGTGGCCTAGAAGCTGCACTGCAATCCTGGAGGTGCATGGTTCAAATCCAC